GGAAAATAAAGGAGGCATCTTGAAGCTTTTCTGTACTCACTCTCAGCAGACGATGTTTCAAAAATCTTCTCAGGTTCTTCAACAGCCAAAAATAAAATCCAATGTTTTCTGCTTATTCATCACGTCAGGGTCACCAAATACAGGGTCACAGATCATTTTCTTGAAAAGGAACGGAGGGTAGAATTTATAACTCACACATTTTATTATGTAGGCCAAAACTGAGCTTCCTCTCCTTAAAAGACCAGCATCCRCCACTGATACAATTTCAGTTAGTCACAGGATAAAGCTTTGTGTTATTTTATCATTCGTATGAGAGGGCGCTGTTGCCATACTGTGTTTCATCATGGTGTTGGTCACTAACAGCAAGCCCTCTCTGCTGTTCAAGAAAATAAAAAACTCTTTAAGGGAATTTCTTTACTGTAATGTCAGATGGCGTTTGGCCCGTTTTAATGATGATAAACCATACTTTCCGATATTCAAGATAGTGATAACTGGTATATAGTTAGTTATTAGCGGTACTGCATTTTAACTTTAGAAAGCGCAAATCCGCTTATAAATTATAAAAATTAGTAAGACTGCTAAAGCGCAAATGACAGCAAWTAGCGGATTTGCACTTTAGCTGACTGGTGCCCACCACTGTTTTAGCTGAAATGATTAATAATTACTCACATCATCGGCGAGCACCTCTAGTTCATACTCATGGATGCCGCCTCCCCCATAGACGCAGACCCCGACCAGAACTACGCCTGGCTTGTCCACGGTCAGGCAGATGGCATCTGGGGAGCCGTTGCCTGTGTTCCAGCTGCGCCCCTGGCTTGTTTTGGTGAAGCGGTTGGGAGATGCTTTCACAGAGTGGAGTGAGTTTAACCCGTCAACCTGAAAAACATAAAATGTATCCAAATATGTATGTATGTATGTATACACTGTGAAACTGAAACAACTGGAAAAATTGGTCAGTTGAACAAAGCTGTTTATTATCTACAAGAGAAATCCAGAAAAGTTTATTTATTTTGAAAGACACAAAAAGCTAATTGTCTGAAATAAAAACCTCTCATGCCTGTCATGCATAAGGGAAAGTAAACAGTTACTATTTATATGAGCGGCATGACTGTAAAGAGCCAGACGCAGCTGCAAAGGGAGCCGATCAGGTGCTCAGGGGAGGAAGACTTGTTTCCCTGACAACAGACTGGAGAGAAAAACTGTGGTGTGGAGGGCTGATGTAAGGTGACATTACCATGGCAACAGGGGTCCTAACGGCAGTGCACGAGTGTACCAGACAAATATAATGACAGAAAGCGTGCGTGAGAGATAAACTGGGCGAAAGACATCTGCCATGCCCACATAATAACTCAGGATAACATAAGGACACAACAAAAAGTCCCCACCCCCCAACTTGTTATTTTTCTATCATAAACCCAGACACCATGTCTGTCACTGTCAATTACAGCTTAAACAAAAGGGCAAAGCACAGACGAGTGGGAAAAAACAAAGCGAGGTAAGACGTGATCTGATCATTCAAATGTGTTGGGAGGAAATAACCCAATCCAGGAAGTTAGACAAATATGAGGGGAAAAAAAGCTCAAAACTGAAACAGCGATAGACTGAATGTCTGATTATAGAAAAGCAGATTGGGCTGCTGTGTGAAAAATCTGCTATTCAAAAAAAAAAAAAAATTAACCTTCATTTTTATCTTTATGTTTCTGAAAACAAAGTTTACAGAGACACACGTGATGATTGTCTGAGTGACGTTACCTCAGAGCCCATGGCTGAAGCGGTGAGTTCAGAGACGATGGAGGCCAGCAGCCCACATGTGTTGGAGACCAGGTGAGGAGAGAACAGCTCCACTTCCTTCCTCAAACTCTTCCTCACTGGAAGCACCACGATCACCAGCATCTTCTCCAGTACTTCCCGGAAACTGGTCATGCCCATCAGGTTCTCCTCCGTCTAAAGCAGTAACAAACATCTCTAGATCACTTATCTTAAATATGGATGGTAATGGCCAATAAAAGCTCATAAATCAAAATAAGTAAGTCTGAAAACAATATTAAGGTTGATATGTTGGGTTGAAAGACGTGCGAACAACTCACATGGCTTAGTTTCTCCATATGGGCCACAAGCAGGGGGAAGCGATGAGCTAGCGCAGAATCATTCTCTGTGCTGACCTGTTTGACCAGTGAGCGCAGCAGCACTTCTCCATCATATGCAATTGGCAGGATGGAGGTCAGCTTCACCGAGGTGTTACACAGAGCTGACATTACAGCTGCCAGCAGGCGGCTGCTGGATGTGCGGAAATTGGCTTCGGCAATGTCCTGAGTTACGGGAAGATCATTTTTGTTTCTAGGATGCTAACATTTTTTTTGTCTGGTCAAGACAATTGTTCAAAGACATTTTTAAGAATTTGAAGTTTGAAATCACTCTACCTGGTCGAGGCAGTTGAGCAGATCGCACAGGCAAGCCCACTGTAGAGCAGGAGTYGGGTAAAAGGAGTGAAAGCAGGAGGTGAAGGTGTTGTGACACTCCTGCAGCACAGCTTCCAGCAAGGTGAGCGGCTGAGACAAGTAGCCCTGAGGGTCATTGTCCAGTTTAGTCAGGCAGTTGTCCATGCCTTCTGACAGGATCTTCTTCAGTAGGCTGCGTGTCTTTCCCACACACTCTGCCAGCTTGCTCGACTCCTCCACCACAGCTTTGGTGCTGGCTAGAAGTCAGAGAGACAAAGAACTTGATGAAAAATAATTCTTGTAAAAAAAAACACATTTGGAACATTTCTGGATGAAGTGGGGAAAAAAAGCCTGTTTATTTTCCCACCGTTTTAAACACAAATCACTCTTTAAAATTTAGTTTCTTTGCTGCAAAAAACCATGAATCAATCAGCACTTGGGTGCATTTAAAGGTTTTGTGTACCTACCAGTAATGGGGAAAATTTCACAGATGTAGACCCGGAGCAGGCGGAGGCAGCACGTGCCAACAAAGCGCAGTCTCTCCAGGTCCAGCAGTGTGGCGGTGTACTGGAAACCCTTCAGCCCTCTGAGTTCCTCAACACCTAAAACCAGAGTGGTCCAGCTCCAGTGAAGGATACTCAGCAGAGACTCAAAACACTCCTGCAAAGAGAGGTCAATCAGTCAGTGCTGTAAAAACGTTGTGACAGTGAAATGATGTATCAAAAGTACTCACCACTGACACTGTACGAGCGAACGAGCGTTTGAGGATGTGGACTGGTTCACTGCTCTGCTGTTTTCCTTTAGATGCATTGCCGTCATTTGATGGAAGTCTAATATTTGAAGAAAGTAAATGAATAACCGTGTGAGTAAAATAAGGCTTGCATCCRTTTAGACAAAATGCAAAGAACTGTACGTGCCTGTAAAGTAGCTGAGGTATCTGACCCGCATTAACATCCGTACCATTGTTTGACTTCTTAGAGCTTTTGAACTGAAACACCACACTGAAAAAAAGCCACAGAAGCAGCGAGCATCATGAGGACTATGTTAAATGTCAAGACAAACACTTTATGTTTTGGATAGCAAATGAGTTTCACCCATCATCAGTTGTGATAGTTGCCTGTCCGTGGGAACCGCAGTCACTGCTGGGACCCGACACTCGGGCCCAMGCCACGTACCACCAGCCGAGCTGCAGCAGCACCGGCTCATCAAACATCATGGCATATTTCTCCCTGAAAACAAACAGGACCATCAATCACAGGAGGGTCACATTGGTATATATATTTTTTTCCTCAAAAACAGCAGCAAACAGACAAACACGAGTATTTTTGGTGAAAAAGAATAATGTTTTTGCCATACCTGGCTGCACAGTCGTAGGCCAGAACATCAGTCTCAGCGAGCAGATCACCGTCAGTCTCATGGTCGCCTCCATCGGGCCCCAGCTCAAAAAGCTTCATTTGAAACATTTACAAATAGTTACAACAATAAAACTATTCAGCCAAACATGATATCTGTAGATATCTGTAGATATCTGTAGAAAACTGTTTAAAAACCATGAATTATATATATATTTGTGCAAAAAGAAAACCCTACGCTTCCAGCAATAACAATTACATTTCATTTTTAAAAAAGTGATAGATTTTGTCACCTTGATCTTAGCAGTGTACTCCCCTCGCCCTCCAAACAGCCCCAACCCCCCCAGCAAGATGTCTGCATCYGCACAGAAGCGGATGGCCTCCACAGAGTGAGCAGAGTAGCCCCAGCCTCCACCGTGACCTTTAAACATTACACAGAAAATCAGTAAAATGTTACAGCTGCAAAGATAAATTATTGTTCATCCATTTCTTTTGATGTTTAAATTAGGCTGTTTATTAAGCAAAATTAGCTCAGATCAATTAAATTAAGCAAAATTAGCTCAGATCAATTAAATTAAGCAAAATTAGCTCAGATCAATTAAATTATGCACATAAAGGCTGATAGTTGTTTTACTTAAGAGAATAAACATTTGTCAAGCTTGATATAATTGTGTTATTTAAGYTTGTAATACCCACATATTTCTCCTACACCTTTAAAAAGTGTCTCAAGTCTTACTCTCAAAGCGGTTAACAACGCTGTAGTCCTCCTTTGAGTAGACCTTCATCACTGCCTGCGTTTCTTCTTCTGCACTAGTTACACCCATTTTTAACTCCTGCATGGCCGCTAACGTGTCCAGGCAACCTAAAAGAAAAAACCCAATGAGTCCACATCATTAAAAAAGGCTACAAACATTATTTAAATGATGGTTAGGATCAAATCWATTTCCTCCACAACCTTTAAATCAAGTTCTCAAACTGTAATCTAAAAGAAGTTGAATATTCTGACAAAAGGTTAAAGCAGTAATAAAACTGGGGATGATTTGGGTAAAAACTTTCAGTATCAAACATCTATTCAAATGTAAAAATCTAAAAAAATCTATTAATCTTTTTACARTCATTACAGGCAAATCCTTAAAACTACAAAAACAAATAACAGTTATAAAATCAGGGTTCCTACAGTTGAAAGCAAGTTAAATTTAAGACTTTTTAATGTCAAGTGAAATTAAATTTAAAACCAATTAATAAAAAATACATAAAAATTAAGACCAATTTCATAATAAACACAAATGACAAAAAAATAAAAACAGGCAGAAACTCATGAATCAAAGTATTTTTGGTTGACGTATTCAAATATTGTTTTTATCCTTATCTAACTAAAACAGAAACATTCTTAGCAGTCAGTTTTAAACTTAATTTAATTTCTGGAAATCCTCTAACGACCCAAAATTTGGAGTTTTATGRCCCACAGTGGGGTCTAACCCCAAATCGCTGTAGCTGAAACCTTAAAGTGCCTGTGACATCAATATTTTGTAAGAAAAGTGAATACATTCTTGGAAAACATTAACATATTACAAAATGAATTTCATACTGCTCAGATGAACAGTTGAGATATTTGCATGTGAAATAACAGGAAGTGATGTCAAACAGGCATGTGAACATTTAAAAAAATAATTTTTACCCATTATTTTAATATTTGAGATGAATTACAATCATCCTATGTACAATGAGTTAACATTTTTAAGACTTCTGAAAGATTGATTTTAAGACATTTTAAGGCTAATTAAGGCCTTATTTTTGGATTGATGAATTCAATGCCTTTTAAGACTTTTTAAGGATCYGCAGGAACCCTGAAAATACTCTACTGGATGAGGAACATCAAACCTCGGACCACTGCTGAGGATTACCGAGGATGTGCAGGGCTCCRTGGGAACGAGTGGTGGTTGCTTGTGATCCGGAGGGTAATGCGAGTTCTGGACTGAGGATGCTACAGCGAGCCTGAAGATCTGTAGCAGAGGGCACCCGAGCATCAGCTATCACTGCATTGTAACACCACATCTCTCTAGAGGCAGGCAGAAACCTAAAAGCAAACAGAGAGCAGAGGACAAGAGGGAATATTAGGTAGAAATGTGATATTTGAGGAAGGTTTTTTTGCAAGAAGATAAATTGTGTTTTGATGCATTCAGTGTTTATTCAGATGTTTTTAAAAAAGCATTTAAATTTTTTTGGTAATTCTTTATTTGTCAAATCATGTTTTTTATTCCTCCAGTGTTATTTACCTCCATATKACATCATAAACGGGGTCCAGACAAAGTCCAAATCCCTGCAGGTCCTCCTGCTCCGAGTCATTGAAGGTTCTGCAGCTTCCGTCCATCTTGTTGATGAGCAAGCATTTAAATGGAGGTGGTTCAGACACAGAAGAGGGCACAAGCCCGATGATGTGTTTGCTGGCAAAGATCTCTGAAGTGGCAAGGACATGGGAGTTAATTAGAGCCTCATCGATCCGCAGGAATGTCTGGTCTCCACTGGCACCAATCCAGGTAGCCTTYCGTCCATATTTGGCACCGATGTTGGGCATCGGCGACGGCTTGGCATTCCAGTAGGGCATGTCCAAGATGGGCCTTCCCAGCTGTCCTTTCTGGAAAGTCAGCAGGTTAACACTCGGACTTAAAAGAAAAAGAAATGTGTACTCACTAAACAGGAATGTGAAACAGTTTCTCACCGAGAAGCTGCCGAACGTAAAGACCTGCCCATCCACGAGGAGAACTGCGGTGTGGTTACTGCCCGCCGTCACCTGGACACTTGGACCAGGGAGAGCCTGCACCAGAGTCGGTGAGCCCCTGGGAGAGAGAAATGTTGATTTAAGTTTTGGAACAATCTGCCTTTCAACATGAGACAGGCCTTGTCACTTCCTGTTTTWAAATCTCTAAAAAAAACGYACCTGTTCTCACTGACTTTGGTACCACTTTACAAAAAGGCTTCCCTTATAATAGATGGCTTTTAAAGAGTTTATAGATAGGTTATTAATTCATCTGTAAACACTTCGTAAATTATTAATAAGTGTTTATTATGCATTTATTAAGGACAAAAAAAGAGACTAAACTGTCCTGTTTCTTTACAAATACTGAGACAAATCTGTTTTAAACATTTCATACTAGTTTACTACCTTGTAAGCACAATAACGATTAGGAAATGCATATTTTAACAAATAATATTGTACTGTATTATTGCATTATAAATATCCACAAATACTAAAGGNGGCTTCCCTTATAATAGATGGCTTTTAAAGAGTTTATAGATAGGTTATTAATTCATCTGTAAACACTTCATAAATTATTAATAAGTGTTTATTATGCATTTATTAAGGACAAAAAAGAGACTAAACTGTCCGTTTTCTTTCCAAATACTGAGACAAATCTGTTTTAAACATTTCATACTAGTTTGCTACCTTGTAAGCACAATAACGATTAGGAAATGCATATTTTAACATATAATATTGTACTGTATTATTGCATTATAAATATCCACAAATACTAAAGGTATCCTTAAAGTGTAAAACTGTTCACTATTTTGGATGGGTTGGATTATTTGGTATGTTAACATGACTTCTTTTTTTCCTTTTTTGATACATTAACATTGTTGACAGTTACATCTTTGAACAACAATTTCAAATATTGATCATCAACACAAAGTTAAAAAAATGATGATTTTTCACATTAAAGACTAACTTGACATTTACTTGACATTTACAAAAGTTTATTTGTCATTAATAAATAGTGTACTGTATTACACTTTATGATAAGTCTCCATTTTACAGTTGTGGATATTTATAATACAGTAATACAGTACAATATTAATGTCAAAATGTGTTTATTGTTATTGTGCTTACAATGTGGTAACCTAGTCTGAAATGTTTATTATAGCACCTTAAGGTAAGTGAACACATTTGTCTCATTATTTGGTAAGAAACTGGACAGTTTTGTCTTTCGTCCTTAATTATTGCATAATAAACATTTATTAAAGATTTATAAAGTGTTTACAGATGAATTGGTAACTTATCTATAATCTATAAACTCTTTATAAGCCATCTATTAGGGGAGCCTTATTGTAAAGTGGTATCCTGACTTTTAAWCACGTGTGAGTTATTTTAGTATTTTGTTATTATGTGTTCTTTATTTATTGTTTTCTGATATTTTTAAATTCATTTSTTTTGTTTTATTTACATTTTCACCTTTATTGTTCAGCACTTAGGCAACAACCTGCTTTTTATTATTATTAAATGTGCTTTAGGAATAAATTTGACTTGACTGAGTGATGTGTGTGTGGAGAACTGCAAGTTGTTCAAATTCGGCCATTTCAACTCCAATAAACATGTTTAAAATGTCTGAAAAAACATTTTAAACTTTTCTGTTTTGTTACAAACTTTCTATGTGAAGGAGTTAATGTTCTATTTGAAAATGGAAAACGAGTTCAAACATTTTACCAGACGACGTACCTGGAGTTGACATCTCCATGTCCGAGCTGTCCATGTTGGCCATAACCAAACGTGTAGACGTCTCCATTCTCCATTAAGACCACTGTGAAGTAACAGAACCAAAGCTGACACGTCTTGTGTCTGTTCTCCAAAGTAATCTCCTCTTGCTCTATTTTTAACTCTTAATTTGTCGCGGTATTTCACAGATAAAAACTAAWTGTCCAGGTGAACGAGCAGCAGCAGCCATGAGGGAGAAGAACCTACCCGAGTGGTGAAATCCGCAGCTGACTTGAACGGCCCGCAGCTCACAGTCAAATCTCACGGCCCCTGGAGGATAGGTGGTAATTTTGCTGGCATCCTTCTCTCCACGCTCGCTGCTACCATCTATGAGGCAAGCAATAAAAGTTAGTATGTCTGAGTGCAGAGGATCCGGTGAAAGAAGTGTAATGGGCAGCTATAAACCACCAGGGTGAGTGTCTCTGCACAGTCCTGAGAAACAGAGCTGGAGGAAAGAGAGAGGACTCAACAGAAAACAGGGAGAAATGGGGAGAACATGCTGGAATAGACAGGAGGGATCAACGCCTCTGCAACAGAAAGGTTTTGTTTGTGCTCTGCAAAAAGGTTTTTAAAAAATCATCCTTTTATTTTTAATAATAAATCTGGAAGACTAGTTGATTTTACAGGACTTTAAATATAAAATAAACAAATACAAACAAAAGTATTAAGTATGACAGCAGCCTTAAAAACACAATTGTTGGTAAAGGCCTGTTGGCTGGATCCAGGTGTAGGAGATGACATCAGCCACTGATTGTTCCACCCTGTTACCCTGCATTGTCTTATGTAGAGATGTGCATCTTTGGTCRCAGACCTCAGAATCCAGAGTTTGAGCAGTGGGTGTGGAGGCTAAACTTAGGACTATAAATCCAGTCCAGGCTGGGTCTGTAAAAACCACAATCCTCTACAAATCTGACCCCCTCACTGAATGGGTTATTTTCAGACCAGAGCTGCGCCGAACAAAGTCTCAGGGGTGAATAATGATTGGAATATTTTAAGCTTTTCTTCTTTTGCCCGCTTTTCAGCTTGTAGTTGCGTCAATTATTAAAGTAAATGTAAAACAGAAAATATAAGAAAGATGCTAAAAACAAGAAGACTGCTCAAAAGAGTTGTGCAATCTAACATTGAATCTTTGCATAAAAGATTTTGAGATGTTCCTCAAACAGGTAAGCTATTAATGAAACCCTGCACAACTTTCATTCCTTACATAACATTAAGGGAGAAAGCATCAGTACACTTAGTGCACAGTTTCAGAGAGCTGTTATTGTTTTCAGACAGACATAAAAGTAAGTCTTCTGTTCTTAATAACCATCATTAGAAAGAAGATTAGAAAGGAGATTAGAAACTCTGCGGTTTTCACTCATTTACAGGCCAGTGGTCACTCTTTCAGAGATGAGGATGTTCTCATTCTTGATAGAGAGGAACGTTGGTTTGAGAAAGCCTGAATTTTGCCTGAAACTCTCAGACTGAAGAAGTCTCTTGGAGGAGAGAAGAAACGTTTCATTAGAGAAGAACCCGTCCAGAGGACCTATACAATTTTTTTCTTTTTGATTTTTTTTTACCTGGATTACTGAGATGCATCAGGACAACCATCATTAGACAACATGGAGTGTGTAAGTACAGTAGGTACTCAACTGGGGTTCAAAGTAAAGGAAAATAGGCCAAAACAATAAATAAAGCACCACTCAACTACATCTGACCCCCACTTGGACAATGAATGAGTGTTAAAACCATTTTACAAACATGTTTCTATATAATATAATTTTTATGACATAATTACTTTGGCATTTTCTGATAAGAAAATCAATTTTCTCTGGATGTTATTCACAGGAGTGTGACAGTTTCATCCTAGTGAGTCTTTTGTATTCTAAGATAGTCCTGATCATTTTAGACAGGAAATAAAGGTGCTTATTATAAATTGTTTTCACTGAAAGAAAAGCACAATTTATCTAAAATTAACAGAGTTTTTATCAATTTAATTCTCACTGGATGAGTTTTTCTCCAGAATACTTCTTTTAAAGTGATAGTTAAGATAAGGGCTGGGTGATATGGCTGAAAAATGTATCACAATATAACAGTTTCACATCAGTCGATATCGATATTTACTGATTAGTTCTTTGTTTTCTCTCTTTGACATAAGGAACAGGAGAAAAAGGTTGATTGATTAATACTGCCTAGCTGGTGATGGGATCTTTCCTTTTTCGTCCACAAACTCCTCTTGAGCCGTTGCACTCATTTTCTCCTTTCACTCCACGTCATTCTTTTTTTATTTTTTAAGCAGCTATGAGGCACGATGGAGAAACATGAAACTGCTACTTCGCATATTGCTCAACAGGTTGTTGCCAGCTTAAAGACTGAGTGAGTTAGTTGATGCCATCAGCCTTGCTTAGCTGGGATTTAGTCATTGGGTAGCAATTTTACAGTTTCAGTAGCTGTTGTGTGTTGTCACAATCTGTGGTTCGGTCTGTAACTTGTTTCCCTGCATAAATTTTCTAAATTTTTGTGAACCTCGTTAGCAGTGTTAGGCTGACTGCAATTATTTTAATAAGCCAGAGAAAAAGAGGAAAAAATATTAAATTGTGCCAGTGTGGACAGAGGAGCTGGGTAGTGATTTTACAGCTTCAGTAGCTATTGTCATAACCTCCGTTCCCGGTCTGTCCACATTTTTATTTCCCTATGTGATTTCTTAAGCTTCCGTAAGTGAAAATACCAATGTTCTGCCTGACATATTTTCTATTAATATTGATCATGTGTCTATCATGATACAGTATATATATCGTTATTGTTTTATCTAGTTTCAAGTATCAGCCCTAGTTAAAGTTTTTAGAAATGGGGTTCTGTGAAGTAGCCATCGTGAGTTGGTACTTTACCCGAGTAGTCTTACAAAGGAATAAACTCCTATTCAAGTTGAGGTCTCTTTTCAGGCAGACTTTAGCCAAACTCAAATTTCTCGTACCACTGTGAGCAAGCTCTAGAAAAGCGGATTTTAAATCCCAGCACTTTTGTATGAGTGTTTGGTTTGTCGTTGTATTTTCAAATGAATAACATTAATATGCAAAACTGCAGTTTTTGTGTTGATGAGCCTGCTGGCTGTATCAGTCCGCCTGATCAAATGAAAAGTGTCATTCTGCCTGTATCATTTCACAACTATAAGACAACAAAAAGTTTCAGGTTTTACGTGGTTTCTACAAAGTTCCTCATCTAAAACATAACTCATCAATCTCACAATCTGGGTCAGTTTGTAAACGTCTCAGTCATCAGTGCTTCCTCTCAAAATGTCCTAATTTTGTCTGCTAGTCATGCTGCATCTATAGAAGCAACAAACAAAGCCATGGGAGTGATGATAAATCCAGTTAGCCCTGGACATTGATTTCTACTCACGTCTGTAAAGAACAAAGAGGTCAGAGAGAGCAGACTACTTTTAAAATTAAAGCTACCTAAGCCAGGACATGGGTTGGCAAAACTCTGTATGTTTATAAAATTTTTTGCTATCAAAAGATTTATTTTGCTGTACAAGTGAATATATTTACTTTAAGTTCCTTTTTACTTGGTCTAATATTTGTATAGTTTTTTTATTACCATGAGATCTGGTGGAGACATAAAAGTCCTTCCGTCAGAGAGTGAAAGAGGAGGTGGACGGGACAGCCAGATTAGGAGATGGGTCAAAAGGGTGTCTCTACACCCACTGAATTAGTGAAGACCATAGTACCTTTGTGCTTGTCCCGTTTATGCCTTAGTGCTTGGAGGGGTCTTATTCTGGCTAGGGCCTGCTCACGCTGGTTCATAAAAATGGGACCAGGAAAAACAAGGGGGCCTGGGGGAGAAAAAAACTTTCACATGCATGCACAATGCTCACAAATGGGAAAGAATACATGATAATACTACATCACAACAATACACACACACACACACACACACACACACACACACACACTGTAGACACAAGCAACAGGGGAGGGTCACATCACACAAGCGCACACCTGAATGTAAACTGAAACCAAAAAGGGATGGACATAAAGTTTGTAATTACACTCTTTATTACATCCATCACAACTGAGACTATGTTGAGGAAGACTGCCAAGAACATTTTAACTCTAGACAAAAGAGAACTCCTCCTCAAACCATGTCGTCTGGAGTTTTTGGCCCGTACCTCTGCCTTCCTCCAACCGATGGCGACGGTTGATTCTCTGTCGCTTCTCCTCCTGCCTGATCTGAATGTGCTCCTCGATGTTCACTCCTGGAGGGGGAGGGACAGGCACAGCTGAAAACATAAAAAAAGGCCGCCCCAAACAGGATGAAGGAGAAGGAGGGAGGATGAAGCAGAGCAGAGCAGAACGGGACAAATGTCAATGAGTGATGGGAAGATGTGATGCAGGAGCAACGACTCTATGCAAAAGTATTATAACAAGGACTGAACCATGGCAGGAGCGTGAGGCACAGTGTTCAAGCGAATGCAGCAGACAGTGTGACACCTGTAGAAACAGCATGACTTGGAAAGACAGTGTACTGCTCAGGAGAGTTATTTAAAGAAATCCAACAAACGTGCAGATTACATTTTAACAAGATTATCATTTGTAATAGCTTTAAGTAATTTGTATTTTTTTTAAAAAAGGATGGAAAACTAAAGTCTCTATTTGATGAAGGTGCAGCAGCCACACTATATAAAACCTGAGTTTCAACTTGAGCAAGATTTGTTTGTATTTTTTATCTAAAAATATATGTATGATAATAAGAACTGCAGCCTATAATTTAGGACCAGTTCCAGTTCAATGCTGTTAAACATGGCTGTCCACTTTCATCACCCTGATAGAACAATGCACAAATCACACAAGATTGCAGCAAAACAATTCAACATCAGAGTGGTACACACCTGTCGTTTTGTTTTTGCTGAAGATATATGATTGCAGCTAATCAAACACGTGTCACTGGCTTCAGGCAGTTTTTTATCAACTACAGCTTCTCTTACATGTTGTTTCCATTAGAATTAAAACAAAATGAGAATAACATTGATTTAACTCCATAAGCTTTCAAAGTTAAATTTTTATATTATTATTTTTTACAAAAGAAAACGGGACCAAGAGTTTTTAGCAGCAGATCCGAGGTGTTGTGTGCTCACACTGTGCAGATCTGCTCCATCTATGACACTAAATATTCTGGAAAGACTCTTTCATTCAAACAGGACATGAAGTCCACAGCGCTGGGTTGAGTCTTTAACACAAGAACGCTGAAGATGAGAAAAATAAGAATATAAATTCAGCAATATTTTTACCAAAACATGACTACTCTGCCCCAACATCCTGAGCTACAGTCACTGTATTCTGCACGTTGCATAGCTACACAAGCATAAACCAAGCGGAGCATGTGTGTATCTGTGTGTTATATTTATTGTGCATAAAAACATGTACAGTGAAGAGCTATTAGTGGACAAATACCTAGCAGCAGATCCAGTGGAATCATCTCCTTCACAGCATCAAAGATACCTCTCTGCCTCGCCTCCTGGCCGTCGAGCTCCCTGGCACAGGCTTTACAACAACCACACGCTGAGCAGCCCGACTCTCCAGACCCACAACCACAGATACTGGTACACAAAAAACAAAACAAAAATATTACGATTAATTATTTAAAGAACTTAATCTAAAAGCAGATAAAGACAACTGCTGACTAGAAAAAATACCTTTGTTTTAACTACTTTATCAGATGAGCACATACGATTTGTAGCTTTCGTTGTTGTGACCTACCCTCCTGGTACTCTGTCTGGTCGTCCGCTACTGACACAACTGGCTCCGTAGCCGGTGCAGTCTCCACACACAGTGCAAACCATACACTGGTCCAGCTTCCACTTGTGCATGCCTGGCTGGCACATCATGCTCTTCTCCTCCTTCTCCTCTAGCTCATCCTCCAAGTCCTCGTCCATGGCTGTGGCCATGTTTTCTACCCCAAACGCTGCAGAAAATATAAATAAAAACAGTAAAACTATTAGACTAGATTGTGAGTTGCATGATGTGCCATGATGTGTTCTGTGTGTGTGTGCTTACCTTTCCCTGCCTGGCTCATGGCTCCAGTGTCTCTGCCACACTGGCCCTTGTTGTTTACCCCAAATGTCCACACCTCCCCATTCTTGGTCAGGACACATGTATGAGCCTTACCCATGGCAACCTGAGTTACAAAGTGACCTTTGAGGTCTGTTACCTGGCCTGTGGAGACACAAAGGAATATTTATTTCTCTAAAAAGAGACACGTGACAATTTCATCTTCATAAAAGGCTATAAAAGATCAAAACATACAGAAATTTTTAAAGAAAAAGTTCTCCGTAGCTGAAAATTCAATATGTCATGTCAACTTACAGGTGCTGTCACTATAAATAGCGTCTTTGCCGAACATGTAGAGCTCTCCATCCTTTGTGACAATGCTGCTGCTGCCATTGTTGCATGCTGTATACACCGCTGTCTTCGTCTCTAATTTGATTATCTTCTTGGGCTTGTAAGGTTTGGGTTGTCTGCGACTTTTAGCTACAAAAGCAAATAAGACGTCCCTTTTAAATCAGCAGCAGCATCTAATAAAAGTAGCTGTAAAATATTTGCAGGTACATAGAAAAATGTCCTACTAGACTCTCCGTCCTCTCCTTTGCTGGCAGAGCCTGTGAAGAAAACTCCTCCATCCTCAGCTACCAGGAGGGCATGAGAACCATCATGGCCAACTGCGAACTGAGCAATCTTAGGAGACTTTGTTATGGGCAGTTCCACCCATTTTCCTGCAGATGGGCCACCCTGCTTTATTCCGAGGCTTTGGTATTTTCCTGTGTAGTAGATCTGAGACAAAGAATAGAACAAAAAGAGTAAAGAAAAAAAGGTGAACTACTGAAAATTATTGTCACTGAATTTCCAGGCTTCAAACAGAGAAGCGTTTAAAATTCACATAAGTGTGCAGCAGAAAGGAGTTTTTTTTTTACTTCAAATCAGAAACTTAGAAACACTATTACACATTTCCAAAAGCACCAAATGACAATGGCAGCTTTCTTGTAAGCCATAACCACAGCATTTATCATATTTATTATACAACTGGTATGAAGTGAAGTCTAAATGTTTAAACAAAGACAAAATACTGCGCAGTTGCTCCTTTTTATTTTTGCAAATCCAGCCAGTGGTAGTGAGAATAATCTGCTGATAAGGTGCCCTCAAAGATTATGCCTTTTCACAGACACATATATCGTGAAGCAGGCAACAACCCTGGACTGCTATCTTTAAAAGAACTGCACCACACCTACAGCAAATGCACAAACAACTACACCCAGGAACACACCCTGAACCATCTACATACTTTGCATTCACATCTTGTAAAGCCATTGTCCCAGCTATGTAAAAAATCTACTTCAACAAAGCASTGACTAGCTCGACTAAATAAATTAAGAGTCAAGAGTAGCTGAGTTAAATACTCATGCAAAGTTATAAGCTTTTTGAGCTCAGTATGAATATGATCACTAGTAAAAAAATTGGTTCAACATCCCTCAGACACACACAAACTTGTTTTTATATCCTTGTGGGGCCCATCTATTGACTTCCATTAATTTTTTGGTAATTTTATATCCTAACCCTTACCACAAACCCTAAGGAAAACCTCACAGGTATCTACTTGACCCTAAAACCAACCTAAACTCAATTCACACCTTGGTCCTAAACCCAACCCCCACACCCAACATCAGCCTCCGAAGTTGTGGGGCCCAAGGAGCACCCGGTCCCCACGAGGCGGCATTTTCCTTAAAACTGGGCCCCACAATGTAGGAAAAACAAGGCCTGCACACACACACACACACACACAC